TTCTCATTCCGCGACCAACTGCTACCGCCAGCGGGGTTCCTTCCCGAGCCGCTATCTCGCGCAAGCGCAACGTTGTGACACCGACCCAAACGCTGCACACCTTTTTTCGCCGCACGACACGCTCTTGAGTTTTGGGGTGATGAGTGGGTTTGCCAGCTGAGAAGTGCCCCCTGGACTTGCGCTTGGCTTCAAGAACGGGTGCCCGGGATCAACGCCTCTGCGGCCTTGCAGCGGGACAATTTGCATGGTCCACCAGGAATATCTCCTGCAATTTGAAGAAGGACATCCGGACCTCGCCAGCCGCTCCAAGAACAAGAAAATACCGGAATGGTGCAGTTGCGGTCCGAGTACCCGGGCCAGACTGTCAACCTCAGGAATGTCGGCGTCCTGACGGACTGACGATCGCTGGCTGGCGAGGCACCTTCTGGGGGTCCTGGCCACCGGCGTCATTCTGGACGCGCCCCCGCGCCACCTTACGCAGAACGGCTGCGAGGCAAGGCTGCGAGCAGGGCAAGGCGGTGCTGCTTGGCGCAGAACCTGGAGCTGGGGGCGCAGACGGCCGACCGCTGCGTGCGCAGGCGTGGGGGCAGCGCGCAGCGGCTGGACTGGCTGGTCGTGGAGGAGATCACGCAGCTGGACATGGCGCTCTGGGCGGAGCTGGGGTACACCTCCTCGCCGACCCGCAACTTCACAAAGTCAAAGATGGGGTTGGAGCGCATGTTCTCCGTGAGCTCGTGCCAGTGCCCCCCGGCCAGGTCCCGCTGTTGGAAGTCGCCCAGCAACAAGCCCCACGCAGGCCAGGCCACGAAGAGGCTGACCCCTCGCGCATGGCCGGACACCAGCAAGCGCATGGCCGTCAACGCAGCGGCAAACCGGGCCCTGGCCCGGAGGGCTCGAAGCTGCTGGAGCTGGAGACCCAGGTCATCCACATAGATTTGGGATGTTACAAATCGGTAGCAGCCCAAAATGGTTGTTGTCAATCCACAACAACCCAAAATCCTCAAAAAAACCCAGTGAGGCTGGACAACGGCATGTGGCTGAAGAACCAGGAGCTCCTGCGGGCCACCCGGCTGAGCCACGCAGTGACCTATGCCAGCTGCCAGGGGCTTAGAGGGTTCGATCCCTCTTTCTTTTTTGAGCCCACCCACCCGCCCTATCAGAGCTCAGGTGAAAAACCTTGATGTACAAGGCTCGCAAGCCTTGATAGGAATTGAATTCAATCCGCACATTGTGCCAGCATGCATATTTTGCTGAGTTTGGCTTTTTTGCCAGGACACATGCGAGGACGCATTCCTCCGGCATCTGTTCCGGACTCAGTCCGATAAGTGAGGACGCATTGTTCAGAGTCCCTCACAAGAGCACGCTTTGCTTCGTGTGGGACTCAACGTTACAGAACCAGCCATTGGTCCTATCATTTGAGGACGCTTTCCTCAGTCTCGCACACAAGTTGCACGCATTGCTTTTCGATGTGCTAAAATACCTCCAGTTTGTTTCACATCCCGTTGAACACGCGTTGTTAACCTTGGGGGTATCTGTGCAGGCTCCGCATGGGGATGCAGGTGAAGGGGATGGACACGCTTTGTCATCCCTCCTGCATCCCCGGGCCAGGACTTCTGAGCAACGCCAAAAAAAAAAACGGAACGATTGGGTCGGTCGGGCTTGTGTTTTTTATTGCTTTGAAGCAGTGAACAGGATTCTAACTCAGCAAACGAAAATAACTGCAGAGAGAAACAAATCCAAGCGTCAAAATCAAAATAACACTTGATTTTTTCGGCAGCAAGTGTTGAAAGCGCCAGAAACGCATTTGCAGCAACAAGTTCGGTTCAGAAACGAATTTGAAAGCGAAAAGGCTTCCAACTGCGCCGGGTCCAGGGCACGACGTTGCGCCTGTTTGCACATTGGCAAGATTTCTTGTTGGCGCCCCGGCGCCGAAGACATTCTTCGGGGGATGCTTTTGGACGTTTTCCGAAAGCTTCTTGGTTTGGCTATTTCACGGACGAACTGTGATCCATGCCACGCGCATAGCGTACTGTAAGACGAACGCGGCGTGTGACCTGCAATTAAGACTAACTATCGTGGCACCAGAGCAACAAGTCGCGGTGTTGGCGAAAATGTATATTCTTTCAAGCCAGTTTGCGTTGCGGAATCTGTACAAAGGAGCAGGGCTTAAAACAGCCTTGCTCGCGCGATGATGAACCAAGCCGCCGCTTCAGGGGCATTTTTAAAAACAGAATCATTCAGTGTCATGTGTTTAAACTTGTGTCGATTCCAACAGACTCTTGCGCGAGCCGCGCCACATTGCCACTGCAAGAGCGATGTTTCTGGAAACTTACTTGCCGCTGCGCCCCTTTTGTCCTTCTTATTGCTGAGAACTTTATTTCACAGTGTTGGCTTTTTTAGAGTGTGTGGAGGTTGACGGACGCCTGAGCATGTGGTTCAAGGGCCAGTAAGACCGCACCAATAGAAGAAGTGACGGAGCCGGCTGGTTTCTGCCGACTGCGCATGGTCGCTGAGTTTCGGGATGCGGACTGCAAAGGAACTTGCTGCAATCTTGGTTACTGCCGGGGAGCGTGGCCTCGCGGGCAGTGGTGGAGTATTTGGCATACTTTCTGCCCAGCGCGCAGAGGTCCGCAGGTTCTGTGAGTTCTCGAGACAACAACAACGACCTTTCCTTCGATGTACCCGGATTTTAGGGTTCCTTGCTGGCAAATTGCCCAGGTGCGTTTGCTCACTACTGAGGCATTGGAATCTAATTGCTAAACATTTTTTTGTTATTGCCAAAGAAAGGCTTTTGATTGTTGAACACGTTTTATTTGACACCTTACCCACATTGAGTTGGCATAGTGTTCCTTGTCGTGCGTGCTGATTTCTTGGAATTATTTTCCTGCTTGCTAACCATTTTTGCGGGCTTCGGGTTGGCAGTGAAGATTGCGAGCAAAATGCGCCACGTGGTCTTTCGTGTTTGTTTTACCCTTCTGGTTGCGAACATGTAGCATTCGTCCCGATTGCAAAAACAGGCTGGCTTCGTTGCGCCTGCGCGCGCCTTTGTCTTGGCGAAAAACTCAGGGAGTGCTGTTGTGCACTCACCTCGTGGCCATGTTTTGGCTCAAATTCTCTCCATAGCAAGGTGCAATGGATCGCGGAGCGATCCAACAGAGCAGGAAAACCATATCGAGCTGATTGCGTGCCTGGGGTTTCTATTTGGAACCCTTGCGTATACGTTGCAGGACAGTACAACTGGAACGGTGAACTGTTGGGACACTTTGCTGTTTCCCCTCAACTTTACGAGCCCCAACCAGTATGCCACAACAGGTCTGCACGACGGCCCGCGTTCTTTTTTGAGGCCCGATTGGCATGACATTGAGTTGGCATAGTGTGCCTTGTCGAACGTGCAGATTGCTTGGCATGTTTTTCTTGCTTGCTAACCATTTTTGCGGGACTCGGGTTGCGACCCTAATGCGCCACGTGGTCTCTGGTTTTTGTTTCGCCCCTTCCACCCTTCTGGTTTTGAACATGTAGCATTCGTCCCGATTGCAGCAAAAACAGGCTGGCTTCGTCGCATCTGCGCGCGCGTTTGTGTTGTTGGCAAAAAGTGCAGGGAGTAATGGCCCTGGCTGTTAAGGAGAGGGAAGGTGGAAAAGGCTCTGGGGTGTTGGGTCCTGAGAGTTTTTGTTTTTGGTCTTGATTTGTGTCCCGCGACAGCATTTGCAAGCCGGTTTCCTTTTTTACTTGTTTGCTTTAGCTTTACCACTCTTCAAAAACAACAGTTAAATTGACCCCTTTGGTTTCGCCATGTTTTTGTGACATACCCTTTGCACGGAGTGTTTTGTTTTGTTGATTGTGTTTTGTTTGGCAATTGCTTTGCATTCTAGAATTCCAGAATCTCTTACGCTTTGATGAAATTATGTTGTTGGTGTTTTTTTGGTTTGTGTTGTTTGGTTGTGGTTCTTTTTTTTGTTGTTGAATGTTTTTGTTGGTTGTCAAAAAGACTGGTGAACGTACATTTTACTGCTTACAGCATACTTTTTGCAACCCCCCTTCCCAACACCCCCACACCGCATCACGAACGACTGGCAAGTGCCAGGAACACACCCGCACACTCGTGTGGTGTGCGCGCATGCCCGGGCACATCGGCAGGCGCACGCGCAGGCGTGCGCACGCAAAGAGGAACTCCCAGACCAAATTCAATCTAATAAGAGAATCCAGATCGCTTGATTGGGCGCTAAGTTGAACAAAGTGGTTGATCGAAAGGAGACATGTCATGAAATCAGAAAAGGAACGCGTACCGCAACAGACCTATGTAGCAATGGAAAGAACCCGCAAATCAACACTGGCATGGTAGGAAGATATAGGTTTTCATTGTGCTTGCCACATATGAATGAATGATTGTTGTAACAGTAGCCCCGGGCTATCCACCCTATGAGCTGCGCAGGTGCCTAGCTATCTAGAAACACATCTCCGGCTCAGTTGTGGCTCTCGTCGCGCCATTGCAAGTAGGTGTTCATAAATTTTCCGGACATTGGGTGAACATGAATGTGTCTGAAATGCATTGAACGATGGGCTACAGATGATGTTTGTCAACTGAAACATGTTGGTAGTTTTCGTCAATGCAGCTTTTGATAGACAATCTACGTGTTCGAACGATGGCGTGTTTGCTTGGCAGTGATGCAAAAACGGCGGGTGTTGGGGGGGGGGCCGGGGGGAAGGGGGGGGGCAACTTCGTCGGTATAATTTTTGCAGAAATGTTCATTGCACCTGAGTCCTTCTTTGTCGCTTTCTTTTTTGGCAGGTTGACATGCGCAAAGAAGGAGTCACTGGCAGTCTGTGATTCACTTCCGGAGGATTGGCCGTTGCTAATATTCGGACATGTTGCACCCGTGTGGAGCTGTTCTTCGCCGCGTGCCTGTTTTTGTGTTTGAGCTTCGATTCAGGTGATCGAAGGCACATTGCTGTTCTCGTTGTATGCGGATTCTGCCTGGCCTCTTTTGGCTCAGTAAGCCATGGCGATGTCAAGCAAATTGAGCATCCTTCCGCTGATCCTCGGGGTGGCTTGGAGAAACGGCGGAAAGCCAGGGACTTTTGACGGGCCTGCTTCCAGCGGAGTTGAAACAAAAAGAACAAGAAATCAATCTTGTCAACAGCCAGGAGGAAAAGAACCGCCGCTTTGAGTAGGCAACCCGGCTGGTGCACTGTGGCGTGCGTTCGTGCTGTTGACCATCCATTCTACGCTAAAATGGCCTGGCGGTCAATGGTGAATTGACTTGATTGAAACAGAATCCTTGCCCAGGACACTTCCCACCCCGCTCAGTGGGTTTGGTCCAAGGTAGCCAGTGCTGGAATCTATCCAGACAACCACTGGGACTTGGCCACCGAGCAACTTGGAAGCGACAGACCCGCAAGGCTCACCACGTCGTTTCATCCGAGGCTCAGCGCCGACACTGCGGACTCCTTCGTGAAGGAGTCGCAAGCCAGCGGAGTGAAGCCAATCGCATGTCCCTTTTGGCTTCAGCGATATACAGCGATTTGCAGTTTGAGTAAGACCCTTGCCAGGAGAACGTGGACGCGGGCAAGACCGTGTTCATTCGCTGGATTGCCTCAGAGGGCTGAGGCAGGATTCGGCGCGGCGTTTCCATTGTGCAGTTGATTGCTTTCTACTGTGATACAGCCGTGGGCAAGGCTTGTGCCTTTACAACCGGTTCGAACCGGTTCAGACAGACTCATAGATGTTGCTTTGATATTTGGCGGGTTGTTTTGCCTCGTGGTGCAGGCTGATGAGTCAAGCAGGCGCCAAGCTGGAACAGTGTTGTTGCTGAGTTTGGCCACCCGGCAAGCAAGCTCGGCCGCTGTCGTATGTGCATTGGCTGGGTGCCAAACAACAAAACCCCATATTAATCGCGTGCAACTCTGAGCTCAAACGGTGCCATCAAACCGCCCTACGCAGCATCGGGCCACGCAGGTGGCCTCTTGGACTCAGCCGCTCAGCCATAGGCGTTCATGTCGCAGCTTTAGCGCATCGGATGCCACAAAGGGAAGACCTGCGGCACGTGTCGTGGCACGGGAAATCAATCTTTGGCACTGGCAAGACCTTGACCTCCGACGGAACTGAGGGGGCTGGGGCGAGAGGCATCATGCTCGGGCTTGCGTGTTCAAGGGACAAGTGGGATTGAGTTTCAAGGGCCAGCCTTTGGCTGAACATCCATTTCAAAGTTTGAAGGTGTTTCAATTGATGCTGGACAGTCAATCTGGCAACCGCAAAGGCAGACAAGATTTGGTGTACACCGCTTTGTTCCACGCCACCCGGCCGCCCGGCCCGTTGGCGTCTGAGGGAAGCATCCTGATGTGGTCTTCGGAGACGTGGCGCTCTCCAAAAACCAGGTGCGCACCATCCACGGGGAGTCCCAGAACCCCGGCACCTCGGAGACGGTCTCAACTTTCAGATCCGACCCAGTTGCCCTGACGGTCCAGTTGCCCTCAGTTTCGCTTTGATCCCAGCGCATCCCTGGAAAAGCCATGCTGAGGAGCTGGTGGTTGGCCAACAGTGCGCTACTTCAACAAGGAAACAGGCTACGGCGGCAAGTCCTATCCGAAGAAGACGAGCCAGGCACCGGTACTGGCGAGGCACTGCGTTGTGTGGTCGAGGGTGTAGCCGAGCAACTGACAATTTAGCTGGCCACCCGAATTCTACGAAAACCGCGGGTCAACCACAGTATGCCTGTCTGTCTGTCTGTCTGCCTGCCTGCGTGCCTGCCTGTCTGTCTGTCCGTCTGTCTGTCCGTCTGTCTGTCTGTCTGTCTGTCTTTCCGTCCATTCCATTCCACAACATACCATGCCACAACAGGCCATACAATACATACATTGCATACATTACATACACTACCCACCTTACATACTGTACGTACATTACACTCCATACATTACAGTACACTACACTACACTACATTGCATTTCCTCACACTACATTGCATTACATTACATGACATTCCATTCCATTCCATTACACACACACATTGCATTACATCCATTACATACATTACATACATTACATCCATTGCATACATTACATTGCA